TTTAGGGCTTCGGGTGTAGGGGTTTTAAACCCCACTCCCCTAAGCCCTGAACCCTAAGCCCTATACACCCCTAAGCCCCGAAGTCCTAAGACCCACAACCCCAAAGCCCCGAAGTCCTAAGACCCAAGTCCCCAAAGCCCCGAAGTCCTAAGACCCAAATCCCCAAAGCCCCGAAGCCCCGAAGCCCTAAACCCTAAACCCTAAACCCTAAACCCTAAACCCTAAACCCTAAACCCTAAACCCTAAACCCTAAACCAACCAACCAACCCTAAGACCCAAAACTCTTCGCACCCGAGGCCTTTCTTCAGAGCCAGCCGCAGGTTGAGGGCAACCGATCCTTCAACTTTATCATCTCTAGAGCCTTGCCTGGTTTAGGGTTTAGGGTAGGTGTAGGCTTTAGGGTTGGGGGTTTAGGGTTTAGGGTTTAGGGTAGAACTTTGCCCTCACTTTCATTTGGGGCTTAGGGTTTAGTGTTTCATTTGAGGTTTAAGGTTCCGGGTTTAGCGTTGCCCTCATTTTCATTTGGGGTTTAGGGTTCAGGGTTTAGCTTTGCCCTCACTTCCATTTGGGGTTTAGGGTTTACGATTCAGCTCATTTAATTTGGGTTTTAGGGTTTAGGGTTTAGGGTTTGGTTTTGCCCTCACTTTCATTTGGGTTCAAGGGTTTAAGTTAGAGCTTTGCCCTCACTTTCATTTGGGGCTTAGGGTTTAGGGCTCCAGAGCTTTGCCCTCACGTTCGTTTACATGCAGGGGCCTCCTAAATAATTACCAATACTATTTTGGGGGTTCCTTACTATAACTATAGTATAATGGGCCCCAAAACCCTATTCTAATTATTAAGGCCCCTATATTAGGGCTTAGGGTTTAGAGTTGAGGGTTTTGGCTTATGATAAGGCTTCTATACGGGTTGCTGCTAGGGTGTCTCCAAAGCTCGGCCTGGGTTTTGTGATTGTTGCGCAGTAGTGGTAGTGTTGGTACTAGCAGCAACAGGTTTGTTAGTGCTACGGCTATCCTAAACCCTAAAGCCTAAAGCCCTAAACCCCTAAATCATCAGGTTGGCTTTCAGTTCCGTCTCAGAGTTGAGGGTTTCAGGGTGTAGGTGTAGGGTTAGGGACTCTCTGCTGATTCTTTCGGTGGGCCCTAAACCCTACTACAGAAACCGAAATAATTACCTATATTATTCTGGGCTCCTCAAAATAAGTATAATATTTTTTTACCCCAAAACCCTATTCTAATTATTCAGGCCCCTACAGAAACCTTAAACTCGAGCTTGGGTTAGCCCAGGCGATCCGGCGGCTTCAGTGGCAGATGCCGCCGCCGGTGCAGTTATCCCTTTGTCGGCGCACGACATCCACACTTCTCCCTCCGGTGGGGGGGGGTTTAGGGTTTAGGGTTTAGGGTTTAGGGGTGGTTATCGTTCAGCACGGCGTTGTCACCGGTTCTGATAAGGACGCTGAAGTCCGCGGTTTCAGCTGAAACCGGGAGTCCTGTTGCCGGAGTGGAGGTAGTTCTGGCCTGTTGAAATTCGGACGTCAGAGAAACGATGCACCAAAATGGAGTATGTAGCGGAAGATCAAGATGTCACAAAGATTCGGGTTCAAGGTTGGGAGTTCACGGCGTTGGCAGGTTGGGCATACTTGACTGTACCACCACTGCTGCCACCACTGCTGCCACTACTGCTGCCGCTGCTGCTCCTGCTCCTACTCCGGCCTGCTCCCGCTACTGCTACTGCTCCTGCTCCTGCTCTTGCTACTGCTACTGCTGCCACCACCAACAACACCGGCCATTCTGCTAGTTTTACAGCGAAGCCTAAGTCCCATGACAAATGACCATACAGCTGCAGAGAACCCATGTGATGCCAACACCAGCCACCTTTTCCGGTCCGGATCCCCAGAAGCTGAACCTCTGAAACACTCGCAACAGATCCCACCTAAACCCAAGTCTCGCAGATCTTCAAAAACCCAAGGCACGCAGATCTTCAAGACCATAACGTCAAGCAGACATCCCGTGACTCCCAATGAGTCGGTAGCGTTCCTCCCACCGGGCCCTGCCCAGTGCATGTCCTGCAAAGCTCTCCGTTGAAAGCCGAACCTACATTGAAATTCTGATAATCTAGGGCCTTTAAACAATGAGAATAAGGGTTTGGGTTATGTTCTATGATATTTGTAGCAAGGACTCGGCCCCCCCCCCCTCCCCCCCCCAAAAAAAATATATATATATATATATATATTAGGTAATTATCAAGGCCTCTATATTAGTAGGGTTTGGGGTTCCGGGTACCATGGCCCCCCAGGAGCTCTGCCTCGCCATGTGCGCTGCGATCGAGAGGCAGCTGCAAGACCCGGAGCCCTGGTAAGACGTGAACTTCGGGGTTTAGGGTTGAGGGTTTAAGG